CATTTCACAGCCAAGATTCATATTGATTCTGCCTAAAAGGACACTCCGGAAAACGTAATATACAACATAGATCTAATCGGGCGAATTTGCATGTCACACAACTTGGAGACATGCATATGCCAAGAAACAGTGCAATCCCGTTTGATTGGTCAACCGGTTCTCTACCATCTCCTCCATAACAATTCTTCCTTCTTTCCGGCCATCTTCTTGGGGATATGGAAGCATGGAAGCCTCAATAAACGTAGCCATTCTCGATAAGTACTTTCAAGGTTGGCTCGGGAACTAGCCGGATTTCCCAAAGAAAATGCATTTTTCCTCAAATCAAATATCAATATATATTTCCCATTGGTCTGGCTAGTGTAACTCCATTTCTTTTTCTTTCTGTCTCCCCTCTTATTTCTTTTGTTTTTCTTCTTTTTTGAAAAAGATGCGTGTGCTTGGTATTCTCCCCGACCGAACAATTCTAGTAGACATTGTGTCTGGATCTGCACCTAGAGTTCACGACCATGATCGACCAATATGTTCAGGTCGTAGAGCAAGTCCCAATTACCCTGGTCTGCCACATAGGTGTAAGGTAGTTGAATATCCATATAGCGAATTTTTAGTCAAATCTTGAGTCGTCGGTTTAAACCACCAATTTTTCCATTGCCCTGCTAGTAATGATGTTTGTTGTACTGTCTCTCGAGAAAAAGACGGGGATTAATTTTCATATCACGTGCTTTAGCTTTTCCGGGGTTGCTTTGAAATTCTCTCGCCACAAGAGGCCGACCCCCGGAACACGGGATCACGTGATACCGTTCCTGGTCAACTCCCGAGGTCGGCATCTAGGAAAAGTTTGCTTGAGAGTCACTCACCAATGTCTCCGTGTTCGATGTTGTTGAAGCGCGTGGCTAGGCCTCCGGCCGCCATGATGTGCAGACCAGTGAGTACACCTTCCTCTCATGATCACCCAATTGTATCTGACTCCCCCAGGTTCGGCCTCGGTGGACTCCGAGCTTCGGCGTCCCAAGCAGGACAATTCATCATCCCTTGCGATCGGTCTCGAACTCCCTCTCCTCTCGCTCGCTGAGCACGACAGCCCCCGCTCGGGTCGAAGGATTCCACTCACAGCACGAGAATGCCTCAATCCCTCTCTCTGAGACCCCCTCCGAGAAGCGCACGCCGCAAACATTGACGGAGAAGATTGTACAACGTTATGCCGTTGGTCTCCCTGAAGGCAAACTCGTTCGGAGCGGCGACTACATCAGTCTCGCCCCCGGGTATTGCATGACTCACGACAACTCGTGGCCCGTCGCCCTCAAGTTCATGTCTATGGGAGCCACGAAGGTCCATCGCCCAGAGCAGATCGTTATGACCCTCGACCACGACGTTCAAAACACCAGCGCAGCGAACCTTAAGAAATACGAGCAGATCGAGACTTTTGCTGGACAGCATGGCATCGACTTCTATCCTGCGGGCCGGGGTATTGGACACCAGGTTATGGTGGAAGAAGGATATGCGTGGCCGGGTACCATGGCGGTAGCCTCAGACAGCCACAGTAACCACTACGGTGGAGTTGGTTGCCTTGGAACTGCTGTTGTGCGGACCGACGCTGCTAGTATTTGGGCCACGTCGCGGACATGGTGGCAGATTCCCCCTGTCGCACGGGTAACGTTCACCGGAACGCTACCAGTAGGCGTGACAGGTAAGGATGTGATTGTCGCGTTGTGTGGCCTCTTCAACAGTGACGTGCTGAACCATGCAATTGAGTTCACCGGCTCTGAAGAGACTATGGAAAGTCTGCTTGTGGATAGCCGTTTGACAATTGCTAACATGACGACTGAGTGGGGCGCGCTCACGGGTCTGTTCCCAATTGACCGAACCCTGAAGCGCTGGCTGCGATACAAGGCTACTGAAGCCGCGATGTCTGATGACCGCACCACCCGGCAGCGTATCACACACGAAAGAATCGACGAGTTGTTCGCCAATCCCCTCAAAGCTGACCCCGATGCTCAGTACGCCAAGCAGCTCTACCTCAACCTCTCTACTCTTTCGCCTTACGTCTCAGGTCCTAATTCCGTGAAGGTCGCGACACCACTCAACGAGCTTGTCCAACAGGACATCAAAGTAAACCGCGCTTATATCGTCTCCTGCACCAACTCGCGTGCTTCCGACCTCGCGGCGGCCGCTAAGGTCTTCAAAGACGCCGCCAAGGCCAACCCTGACACAACTCCCAAGATTGCCGACGGTGTCAAACTCTATATCGCGGCTGCTTCCGTGCCCGAACAAGAGGCCGCCGAATCCACCGGCGACTGGCAGGCTCTCCTCGACGCTGGTGCGCAGCCGCTTCCCGCTGGATGCGGACCTTGCATTGGTCTCGGAACAGGTCTTCTGGAGCCCGGCGAGGTTGGAATCAGTGCCAGTAACCGTAACTTTAAGGGACGCATGGGCTCCAGAGATGCCCTGGCGTACCTGGCAAGTCCCGAAGTCGTGGCTGCTAGCGCTCTCAGCGGTGTTATCTCTGGGCCTGGCGCCTACCAAGTGCCAGAGGGCTGGTCTGGCGTGGAACACGGATTCGGCACCGGCCTCGAACCCACCACCGAGAATGAGCTCACCAACCTTCTCCAACAGATGGAATCTCTGATTGACCGGGTTGAGTCCGCCGGAGACGAGGCCAAACCTGCCACCGAGATTCTGCCCGGCTTCCCCGAACGCATCAGTGGCGAGATCGTCTTCCTCGATGCCGACAATCTTGACACTGATAGCATCTACCCTGGTAAATTGACATACCAAGACAATGTCTCGAAGGATGATATGGCGGCCGCTTGCATGTCAAACTATGATCCCGAGTTCAAGGGCATCGCTAAGCCAAGTGACATCCTCGTCGCCGGCTTCAACTTCGGTTGTGGATCCTCAAGAGAACAGGCCGCGACCGCGATTCTAGCCAAGCAGATTCCCTTGGTCGTCGCTGGCAGTTTCGGCAACATTTTCTCCCGAAACAGTATCAACAACGCGCTCATGGGCCTTGAAGTCCCGAGACTTATTGAGCGTCTGCGTGCCAGCTTCGCTCAGCCATCCTCTGCTGATGCCAAGGGGCGCCAGCTGACACGCCGTACAGGCTGGACTTTGACGTGGGACGTGAAGCGTTCCGTTGTTGAGGTTAAGGAGGGCGAGACAGGGGAGAGCTGGACTGAGCAGGTCGGCGAATTGCCAGCGAATGTACAGGAGATCATTGCGGAAGGTGGCCTAGAGGCGTGGGTCAAGGGTAAAGTTGCGCAGTCCGGGTGAGGACGCATTAACCAGGTCAGACGGATGGCGGCGGGAAACACCAGTTCAGCGAATACGTAAGTGTTTGTGTTCCGGGTAACCACCGCTATACGTTTGGCTGTATGTTTTTGCATATTTACTTTTTGTACTATCTTTCCATCATTATCAGGTACCATAGAGACCGACTTCTGACTGTTCAATAAGGGCATGTCTTCAAAAAGAGTAAGAACATACTAGAACACTTTCACCAGACATGATCTTTCTTTTCTTCGTCCTGAAAACAAATATTCAAGTCCATCCAGCAGCCAGAAGTACGCTGGTGTTTACTGGGAACATGAGTACCCCACCGTGTTTGCTCAGTCAGACAACCCTTAACTCTATACCGAGGTCACTCCATCAATTATTCCTAATATCAAACCGTTCACGGTTCTATTTGTTGAAAATGCTAGACAGACTTTCGACTACTTCAATTGTAGGCTTTTACGTTGAATTGGAAACTCCAACACTATTCGGTATTCATACAACGTGGGAAAGGAGAGCACAGATAGTGCCGGGCAGTTCCAAGCTCAGCATCCCCGCTGTCTCATTCCATGAGAATGCTCCGTACGCAAATGGCAACTGTTTTACTTTGGACCAAGCCGATGGCGAACGAATCAGGGCGAGAATATCCGAAGGCGCTAACTACTTACCGATTGGCACGGGGTTAGCAGACGAGAAACAACCGATTTGACCATCTCCTCGTTTATTACTTTCGTTCTAGGGAAAGCTCTAGGTTCGGAGATATGTACATATGCCGGAGGGGTGGGGAAGCCTGGCGTCCCAGGCTCATGGTTTGTCTCCGCCCCCTCATGGGTTTCTCGGGTACGCTTTAGTGTAACTTTCTAAGGCGAATCAGGAACCTTGGAATCCTTCCAGGAAATTCTGATCTGGGGCAAGTGGGGTCGCGCTATTGAATCAATCCGGGGAATCTGCGTTCTGTCCTAGTACGTGCAGATCCGGGGTGAGACCATTCAAAGAAGCAGATTGAGAGCTGCTCTCCAGTATAATGGAAGAACTACAACGAAGCTTTGATAAGCAAACCCCATTTGTGACTGTGCGTCCATCCTCTTTCCATATCCTCTAACCAGGCCAGAGTTTGTCGAAGTAAACATGGAAGAGAAGAAACATGCCACCGAGCACGTGAAACCTACCAGAATTGTCGAGAAACGATCATAAGAAGATGTAAGCGAAGTCACGAGGTCCGCCTTTCTCTTACCAAAATAGACTTAGTCTCCGCCTATTTCAAATCCCAAACAGGCAGGTGGACACGCTTGGGGCCAAACCTTGGGACTATCGGAGAAATCCCGGTGTTATGTGTTATACTCGAAAGATGTTACAGACAAGTTGTAAAAAGTGGAATAGGTGGAATAGGGGGTAGAGGCCACATGGTATTCATTGGATAGTTGTGAGAGTGGGCATTACCTATGAATAGACAACATATACGGAGTACAATGTACTGTTGAGAAAAAAAAAAATGAAAAATGAAAAATGAAAAATATAAAAAAAAAAAAAAAAAAAAAAACTGCCCCTTGAACAAGCCGAATCCCCCGCATTGGCCAAGGTTCTCACCCACTGCATATGTTTAAGTAAAACGGGTGCCGAGAAAACCCGTGGACTAGACTCTTTCTATCCCCATCCTTTTATCTTTTGCATGATCTTTCTTCTTTTCATGCACATCGAAGTTTTACCCCGCATCTGATTGTACATTTTATATCATGTTTATCGCGTTCAAGGCTCAGGACGGCGAGGAGGGGTTGCGGAACCCGAAGCATAAAAGGCGGAGTGAACGACTCAGCCGACGAGGATCCACACCGCGAGCCTGCACTTCGTGTCGTCGTCGCAAAATTAAATGTGATGGCGAGAAGCCCTGTGAAGCTTGTCGATGGTACAAGAAGCCAGAGCTGTGTGGCTACACAGGACCTCGAGCCGCGCAAAGGTAAAAAAAAGAAAATTGATAAAAGAAACCCAGGAGTTTTGACGATAAAACTGATTAAATTAGCCAGCCGGAGAAATTGACAATACCCTCGCCCGACTACAAAAGCACACTTGAAAGGCTTTTCCCGGACAGTGCCCCCGAAAACATCGCCCATTACTCAAGGGACAAATTGTTAGATTTGATGACCGTAGGCGGCGGGTCCCAATATTCTCAGCACCAAGACTCATCGATTGTTGCCGCGTCCCTCGACACTCACGACTCTGCACTGTCGGGGGAAATTCCTGGTCTGGAGTCACTACATACAATACCCGGAGAACAACTCGATGAAAATCACTGCCCCAGTGCCTCGGAATCAGTCGGACATATCTCAGACGACGTCAACGCCTTGTCCCTCTCGGCTCGGCACCCAACCTCCTATCTAGGCGTTTCGTCTATTCAGGCTGCATTGAAGGTCATTGCATGGCTCCATCCAGCAGTTAACTCATATTTTGCTCAGTCCTTATCTAAAGACCAAGGACCACAGCCAACCAACTCGTTGCCCCCGTCGCAAGCTACACCTCAACCTGACCCCCCACCCACGGAACATCGAATGCTAGATGCATACTTCATTAACTTCCAGCCATTTGCACCACTCATAGACGAGGAATCCTTTCGCACAACTTACTTACTCGGCCGTCGGAAGGATGATCGATGGCTTGCACTACTCAACATAGTTCTCGCGTTGGGAAATATTACAGCCGCAGGCGCAGATAACCATACCCATCATGTATATTTTGAGCGTTCAATGAATCACCTAAATCTACGTTCGCTCGGGAATCCTAGCCTTGAAGTCGTCCAGGCTCTAGGACTCATGGGTGGCTGGTACTGTCACTATACCAGCCAGCCGAATCTCGCGTACTCCCTTATGGGCGCGTCACTGCGGATGGCGGTTACTTTAGGCCTGCAGCGGGAACCTTCGGATATCCATTCGATACTCGATCCCAAGAAGTCCGGAATCCAGGAATTCAAACGTCGCGTCTGGTGGTCACTTTGCTGTTTGGAGACTTGGGGCCACGAAACGCTCGGCCGGCCAAGCATGGATTACTTTGGCCCGAGCATCACAGTCAATTTGCCTAGTCGGCTTGACAAGGTGCATATCCCCTGACCCATTTTTGAATCATTCCAGGTTCTCTTCTTAAATTAACTCTTGACAGGAATCATATTTCGAGGTCCTCCCCCTGACAGAAAATGTCCAATTTGTGAAAATTGCGTTAAAAATTCAAGAATCGTTGGCTGCACTACCAACCCTGTCGCATACCGAGATGTTCGATCTGGACTCACAGCTTGTTCGGTGGTGGCATGACCTGCCACCGGTCCTCAAGGATTACGAACCATGTCCCGAATCACTATATGCAGTGCGCACTGTGATGCGTTGGCGATTCTACAATCATCGCATGTTACTTTATCGCCCAACTCTACTCAACTACGCAATGCGACGAGTTCCCTTCATGGCCATCCGAGTTGAAGAACGCACTGCTATCCAGAAATGCCAGGAAATCGCAGCGATTTCCATCCAAGACATCTCCTCAACAACCCAACTGAATCAAATGATCGGCTGGAACGCGGTTTGGATGTTATTCCAAGCTACTATGGTTCCATTGATTTGTCTGGCCGCTGGCGTCGCAGACCACGATTCCGCTGTTTCATTCGAAACTTGTAAGACGCAGGTTGAAACAGCGATGTTGACCCTGGGCCGCATGAAACCTTACGGGCATACCGCGGGACGCTCCCTTGAGGTCATCTCGGGCATTCTGGAGTGTAATCTTCATGCTCCCAGGGCAGCGCCGCTGGATACAAGTGGAGACGGTCTCGACCCCCAAAATTTCCCTCCTCCGAATGCTTTCAACACCGGCCAACAAGTGGCTCGTGATCGTGTTTCAGATTGGACTGCGACATCCTTTGAGACACTGTCATCTCAGTACATGTGGGAGTACTTGAGTTGGGACCACAGCAACCTCTGGCCTGAGATTTTTGACCTCAATGACCAGAATGAAGATGCGTCAATGTCTTTCCTGAATTCCCATTCCCCTGCAGGGAATACGTGAGATTGTTGTCGCATTGCCTCCCATGTTTATAATGTTTATCGCACAAATGATACCAATCTGATCTGCATGATAATACATATCTATGTACGGAGAACCGTACTCGGTACCTGGCTTTATCATAATGATGAAATATAGACTAGAAGCATTTGCTCCGGTCACTCCGTACCCACTACCTCGTTTTTCATGCATCATGCCATCTTCTAGATTTCGTAATCGGATCGGCAGGACTATTGAATTTTTCAAGGGTCCACCTGATGAAGGGACATGTCTCAGATTAACCTCTTGCTGCAGGTGACTAGAGCCAATCAATTTTCGACCCACACGAGAAAATATTTTGGTAAATCTCGGTCTCTCGTGTGCTGTGGATGATCGTCAAATGATCGTCGGTGTTGATTGACTCGTGTTGAACCGCCATTTTAGTACATGCATACGTATGCGAAACTATTTATGGATTTGTTTGATATCAACCTGGAAGAGCAATTAGACATTTCCTTATTTGGATTTATATACCCAAAAATCCACTAATGTATCGTAATTGTGGAGAATGTTAGAAGTGACCCTTGAGCTTCGATGTTGTTCAATTAAAGGAATTCTATATACACCACCCCTATCGGAAGCCCGTGACTCTGCAAATACTTGAAATCCTATCTTTTTTTTCCCATGCTCCATCCAACTTCCCTACCTCCAACATGCGTTCCTCCATCTTTCCTATGGGGTAGATGGCTGCACGGCTACACCGTTACCGAATGTGGGATGTAGTGTCTCTGATGTAGAGGCTAAGTCATGGATCCAGGCATTCATTGTTTAGGTGACGTGATAGTTTGTACATAGGACATGCAGGTAGATAGCTTGGTGTCACCTCTACTAATATTTTACATTTATTTTCGTTCTACTACTTCTTAGATAGGAATGAGAGAAACCACGGCAATATCAATTGGATTCATAAGACAAAAGTGATCCACCCATCCCAAGTTTGTCATTCATATAGTCATGTTCTATTTTCAAATATGAGTATAACATTGGGCATTCCATAACATGAACATGGTAGAATATTCGTGACTTCTAAAAAAAAAAAACTAGAAAAGACTGTTGAATAAGCTATGCACCCTTAACTTCCACCACCTGATTTGCAGTCTCAGAGACCAAGACCTGCTGTGATTCCGTACTCTTCTTCCGAGGGTTGGGCGCATCAAAGATCTCCGTGAGTTCTTCGAGGGTTCGATTGTTCGTTTCAACAGCGAAGAAGTAGATAAATACTCCCTGGACGATGTTCCAGCCGGCCAAGATGATATATGTATGCCAGCCAATGACGTCGATAGCATTTCCGACTCCGAACTGGTTCACCAGCAAGGCAATATTGGTGAAGACAGAGTACATCGCCATACCCTTGGCACGGGTCTCGTATGAAAGACATTCGACGGCATACATGGCTTGCAATGGGGTCCAGCCGAAGCTGAAACAAGCACCGATCAAGAAGATAAACACAATAGAAGCAGTCGCTGCTCCTGTTTCCTTTGTCTTTGTGTACACTCCGGTTGTGGCTGCAAAACACGCAAAGCAGATCTTCATAATCAAAACGTTAGCGTAGAACATTGATAAAAGAAGAACCACGGGGGACGTATATACGTACAGTGCAAGCAATAGACGCGCCAATCATCATAGGTCTGCGTCGGAATTTGGGGCCCAAATAGCTTCCCAGATAGGCTAAGCCGGCAGAAAGAACTGTGTTGCCAAGATTGACGTCCAGCACTCGGGTTGGGTCAGTGATACCAGCTGTGGCTAAAAGTCCGCCAATGTAGTAGGTTGTGACACCAGCCTGCGCCCACTGACTCATAAAAGATGCGATAGCTACACACATGAGGCGCCATCTCGCCGCTTTTGTGTTAATGAGACCTCTAAAGTCCCAAGATTTCTTATCCGAGCCTTCCAGGTTGATCGCCTCTTCATATTCTCGGACCTGCAGATGAACATAGGCATTATCCCGGATACCCTCGCCATGATATTTGGTGATAACATCCCAGGCTTCCTCGCGGCGCCCATGGCTGTAGAGCCATCGAGGTGATTCGGGTATAAACCAAACAGTCAACACCACAATGCTGGACGAAATCAACTGACACCAAATGGGGATGCGCCACGCGAGCGAACTCTCGTATTTCAGACATCCACGACAAGCACCAGCAGCGGCAATAGCGCCGACGAAGTACTGGCAATTGTATAAACCGGTCAGAACGTCACGGTAGGCAGGATGGCTCATCTCGACGACGTAGGCGGGTGCGGCAGCGGAGGCCAAGGAATATCCCCACCCTGAGATATGTTAATAGTGTCGTCCAAAATGGGGCAAGGTGTAGACACATACCCAGGAAGAATCGACTGGCGAGCAATTGATCCATGTGGTTGGCAGTACCGCCGATAATTGTACCCAAGATGACAGCACAGGATCCAGTAAACATACCGCACCGTCGACCCCAAGTATCTAGGAACATTCCGACGAACGGCAGCGCGGAGACACCTCCGATGGTGTACATTCCCTGGATCAAGGAGGCTTTGGAACCGACCAAGCCGGAGCCGAAAGTTTCACGGAACTGGTGTATAGGAAGCAGAGCACCCATCAGGGAGCCATCAAATCCTGAACTAGTTAGCGAGAATTTTTCATCAAATATCAAGTGTCTTTCTCGTACCGTTTACGGCTGAGCAAAGGTATGCCACAGTCAAAAATAAATATAGCTTCCTCATCTGAACGCTCCAAGGGTTCGGGGGGTTCGTCCGTCTGGCGATGTCGAGAGCCAGTGAGCCCTGAACAGTCTCAACCTTGACACCCTCCTTGTGCTCCTGATGCATGGCGTCGGTGGCACCTTCCTTCTCAACTAATTGATCTGGATGTGTATTATCTGTCATGTTGAAAAGTTCCTGTTCTCCACGCTGGATATGATCCGCGAAAATACTGACTCAATTCATGGAGAAACAGATGGCTGTGGCATGATATTTATTGTTGTGACGGAGTTGCCTCTCTCTCCCTTGTCAGCATGAAATGGTACGTTTGTGAATGTCTCGGACATCCGTCCTTGGCTGAAACGGGATCCTGGTCAAATCTCTTGCCCTCCGTTCGTCCAATCATGAGAGGCCTTTCGGCTCCTCGGTGGGGATACGAGTTACCCCCGAACGAGTGATCGAAGCCGATCGCTCCCTACAAAACCGGGGTAACTCGTGCTCTCTACCGAAAATGACTCGGCTTCCTCCGCCTACTCCTCGACTAAAAAGGTAGTACTCCGCCTTTACTTCCCCGGATTGACGGCAATTTCGGCCCCAATATTGCGGACGTCTCCGTGAAAACGATTTTTGGGGGTTTGCGGGTTTGCGGGTTTGCAGATGTGGAGTCCGAGTCAGTCAAATGCCATGTGATTTCAATCTTGTACTATCCCGGCGATCTCGGCTATTTCCTTGTACAATCCCCTCTTAGTCAGAATTCTGTTAATGAATATCCTACCGATCTCTCTACACTAGTAATTTTTATGTTTTATTTCATCGGAATACTGCATTCTTTTTTCTAACTAAAACGAGTAGGACCAAATTGATAGCTAACAAACGTATTTCAGCAAGCCGGCCACACCACCTAGCCGGCCGCCCCAAAACACATACATAGTAAATGCGATAAACTACAACTTCATATCTCAACAACTACGTTTATATATGATTTAATTACCTATCGATAGCTATTGATAAGAATTTTGAATACTATATATCAATCTCAAGAGTATCGAAGAGGTACAGTAGTACGGGACAGAAAATTATAGTGCTAAAAGCCAGAAATATATATATCGCGATCACAGAGTTATATATATTTACCAAACTCCATAGAGAAGCTAGAAATTACCTAAAAAGCATTAGTCTATAAAGAATCTCTATGTAAACTGCCGTTGTTGAGATATCAAGGTATAATTTCTCGCATTTGTGTATGTTTTGGTATGGCCGGCTCGGTGATGAGACTACGTTAGATTATAGCATTCCGTACAAATCGATATAGCTGGTATATGCAATACACCGCGCTAGCAAATATTAGCGTGTTATTGGCAAAGCCACAATGACAGAATTCTGATTAGGGAGGGTATGTTTAGGATTTATACGGGAAGTACTATTACTTTCGAAGTAAACTTCAATAATTTATGAATTATCTAAAGAACGCGTTTTCTCACGTTTTTAAACGTGATATATAGACCTAACTAATAAATGATTTCGAACCCATTAAAATAATGAAATATTACCTCGGGATAAGGGCTAGAACGGGGTCTAACCATAGGGTAATTTAAAAGTGTCACGTTTTTCGGAATGCTTGTATTGTTTGGACCCCTCGGTGGGCCTAAGGACCGGGCCAAAAACCCTGCCCATTAGTGGGCTGGGGCGGGCCGGGCTTTGGGCTTTGCGGTCTACCCTTAACTGTTGTGGCAAAAGATACACACGGCCTAGGCTTATTCAAGTCTCACAACAGGAGTGAAATCAAAATCTACAAGGGTTGCCATGCGAAATCAGAGCCCATTTTTCTCTCACAGTACACTTGAGTAGTTAATCTCACGATCGTTTTCACTGGTGAGATACTCCTACAACAAAATTCCTCTATTTTCAAATTGTATCCATCTCACAACTAGAAAACTGGAAACTTCCATTATCACAGCCCTTATTTTAAAACGGTTGAAAAAACCTACTGACCTAAATAACGATAACCCAGCTGTGGGTCACTGTTACTTAGTCCCGTAATCTCCACAACCTGCTCATCGCCCGGGACAATATCTATAGCGCTGTCGCTGATCCGCACATTCTGCCGCTCCTCAAAGACAAGACATTTCACTGGCTTCTGTGAACTGATTACCAGGAGCTGCTTTCCAGCTGTAGCACCTGGCTGTGGCTTCACTTCCAGTCCACGATCAGAAAAGTCGAGGTACTTGAGCGGCTGTGGCCAATCAATGTCCCTGGACACAACCTGGCCATCTATCCATAGCCGTGCGGCC